GGCTTCTGTACAGTGAGACTGGCTACTGTACAGAGTGAGACTGGCTACTGTACAGAGTGAGACCGGCTTCTGTACAGTGAGACTGGCTTCTGTACATTGAGACTGGCTTCTGTACAGAGTAAGAGTGGCTTCTGTACAGAGTAAGACTGGCTTCTGTTCAGAGTGAGACCGGCTTCTGTACAGTGAGACTGTCTTCTGTATAGAGTTAGACCGGCTTCTGTACAGAGTAAGACTGGCTTCTGTACAGAGTAAAACTGGCTTCTGTACAGAGTGAGACCGGCTTCTGTACAGTGAGACTGGCTACTGTACAGAGTTAGACTGGCTTCTGTACAGTGAGACTGGCTTCTGTACAGAGTAAGACCGGCTTCTGTACAGTGAGACTGGCTTCTGTACACAGAGAGACTGGCTTCTGTACAGAGTGAGACCGGCTTCTGTACAGAGTGAGACCGGATACTGTACAGAGTGAGACTGGCTTCTCTACAGAGTTAGACTGGCTTCTGTACAGAGTAAGACTGGCTTCTCTACAAAGTGAGACCGGCTTCTGTACAGAGTAGGACTGGCTTCTGTACAGAGTGAGACTGGCTTCTGTACAGTGAGACTGGCTTCTGTACAGAGTAAGACCGGCTTCTGTACAGTAAGACCGGCTTCTGTACAGAGTAAGACTGGCATCTCTACAGAGTAAGACCGGCTTCTGTACAGAGTAAGACTGGCTTCTGTACAGAGAAATACTGGCTTCTGTACAGAGTAAGACTGGCTTCTTTACAGAGTAAGACTGGCTTCTGTACAGAGAAAGACCGGCTTCTGTTCAGTGAGACTGGCTTCTGTACAGAGTAAGACTGGCTTCTGTACAGAGTAAGACTGGCTTCTGTACAGTGAGACTGGCTACTGTACAGAGTAAGACCGGCTTCTGTACAATGAGACTGGCTACTGTACAGAGTAAGACCGGCTTCTGTACAGTGAGACCAGCTACTGTACAGAGTGATAATCTAATGTACATTGTCAGACCGGCTACTATGCAGAGTAAGAACAGCTACTGCACAGAGTAAGACTTGCTACTGTACAGAGTGAGACCGGCTTCTGTACATTGAGACTGGCTTCTGTACATTGAGACTGGCTTCTGTACAGAGTAAGAGTGGCTTCTGTACAGAGTAAGACTGGCTTCTGTACAGAGTGAGACCGGCTTCTGTACAGTGAGACTGGCTTCTGTACAGAGTTAGACCGGCTTCTGTACAGAGTGAGACTGGCTTCTGTAGAGAGTAAAACTGGCTTCTGTACAGAGTGAGACCGGCTTCTGTACAGAGTAAGACTGGCTTCTGTACAGAGTGAGACTGGCTTCTGTACAGTGAGACTGGCTTCTGTACAGAGTAAGACCGGCTTCTGTACAGTGAGACTGGCTTATGTACAGAGTAAGACCGGCTACTGTAGAGTGAGACTGGCTTCTGTACAGAGTAAGACTGGCTTCTGTACAGAGAAAGACTGGCATCTGTACAGAGTAAGATCGGCTTCTGTACAGAGTAAGACTGGCTTCTGTATAGAGAAATACTGGCTTCTGTACAGAGTAAGACTGGCTTCTTTACAGAGTAAGACTGGCTTCTGTACAGAGAAAGACCGGCTTCTGTACAGTGAGACTGGCTTCTGTACAGAGTGAGACTGGCTTCTGTACAGAGTAAGACTGGCTTCTGTACAGTGAGACTGGCTACTGTACAGAGTAAGACCGGCTTCTGTACAGTGAGACTGGCTACTGTACAGAGTAAGACCGGCTTCTGTACAGTGAGACCAGCTACTGTACAGAGTGATAATCTAATGTACATTGTGAGACCGGCTACTATGCAGAGTAAGAACAGCTACTGCACAGAGTAAGACTTGCTACTGTACAGAGTGAGACCGGCTTCTTTACAGTGAGACTGGCTTCTGTACATTGAGACTGGCTTCTGTACAGAGTAAGAGTGGCTTCGGTACAGAGTAAGACTGGCTTCTGTACAGAGTGAGACCGGCTTCTGTACAGTGAGACTGTCTTCTGTATAGAGTTAGACCGGCTTCTGTACAGAGTAAGACTGGCTTCTGTACAGAGTAAAACTGGCTTCTGTACAGAGTGAGACTGACTTCTGTACAGTGAGACTGGCTACTGTACAGAGTTAGACTGGCTTCTGTACAGTGAGACTGGCTTCTGTACAGAGTAAGACCAGCTTCTGTAAAGTGAGACTGGCTACTGTACAGAGTAAGACTGGCTTCTGTACAGTGAGACCACCTACTGTACAGAGTGATAATATAATGTACATTGTGAGACCGGCTACTATGCAGAGTAAGAACAGCTACTGCACAGAGTAAGACTTGCTACTGTACAGAGTGAGACCGGCTACTGTACAGAGTAAGACTGGCTTCTGTACAGAGTGAGATTGCCTTCTGTACAGAGTGAGATTGGCTTCTGTACAGAGTAAGACTGGCTTCTGTACAGAGTGAGAACTGCTTATGTACAGTGACACTGGCTTCTGTACAGAGTAAGACTGGCTACTGTACAGTGAGACTGGCTTCTGTACAGAGTAAGACTGGCTTCTGTACAGAGTAAGACTGGCTTCTGTACAGAGTAGGACTGGCTTCTGTAGAGGGAAAGACTGGCTTCTGTACAGAGTAAGACTGGCTTCTGTACAGAGTAAGACTGGCTTCTGTACCGAGAAAGACTGGCTTCTGTACAGAGTAAGACTGGCTTCTGTACAGAGAAAGACCGGCTTCTGTACAGTGTGACTGGCCTCTGTACAGAGTAAGACTGGCTTCTGTACTGAGTAAGACTGGCTTCTGTACAGAGAAAGACTAGCTTCTGTACAGAGTAAGACTGGTTTCTGTACAGAGTAAGACTGGATTCTGTACAGAGAACGACTGGATTCTGTACAGAGAAAGACCGGTTTCTGTACAGTGAGACTGGCCTCTGTACAGAGTAAGACTGGCTTCTGTACTGAGTAAGACTGGCTTCTGTACAGAGTAAGACTGGCTTCTGTACAGAGTAAGACTGGCTTCTGTACAGAGAAAGACTAGCTTCTGTACAGAGTAAGACTGGTTTCTGTACAGAGTAAGACTGGATTCTGTACAGAGAACGACTGGCTTCTGTACAGAGAAAGACCGGTTTCTGTACAGTGAGACTGGCCTCTGTACAGAGTAAGACTGGCTTCTGTACTGAGGAAGACTGGCTTCTGTACAGAGTAAGACTGGCTTCTGTACAGAGTAAGACTGGCTTCTGTACAGTGAGACCGGCTACTGTACAGAGTGAGACTGGCTACTGTACAGAGTGAGACCGGATACTGTACAGAGTGAGACTGGCTTCTGTACAGAGTAAGACTGGCTTCTGTACAGTGAGACTGGCTTCTGTACACAGAGAGACTGGCTTCTGTACAGAGTGAGACCGGCTTCTGTACAGAGTGAGACCGGATACTGTACAGAGTGAAACTGGCTTCTTTACAGAGTTAGACTGGCTTCTGTACAGAGTAAGACTGGTTTCTGTACAGAGTGAGACTGGCTTCTGTACAGAGTAAGACTGGCTTCTGTACAGAGTGAGACTGGCTTCTGTACAGTGAGACTGGCTTCTGTACAGAGTTAGACCGGCTTCTGTACAGTGAGACTGGCTTATGTACAGAGTAAGACCGGCTACTGTACAGTGAGACTGGCTTCTGTACAGAGTAAGACTGGCTTCTGTACAGAGTAAGACTGGCATCTGTACAGAGTAAGACCGGCTTCTGTACAGAGTAAGACTGGCTTCTGTACAGAGTAAGACTGGCTTCTTTACAGAGTAAGACTGGCTTCTGTACAGAGAAAGACCGGCTTCTGTTCAGTGAGACTGGCTTCTGTACAGAGTAAGACTGGCTTCTGTACAGAGTAAGACTGGCTTCTGTACAGTGAGACTGGCTACTGTACAGAGTAAGACCGGCTTCTGTACAGTGAGACTGGCTACTGTACAGAGTAAGACCGGCTTCTGTACAGTGAGACCAGCTACTGTACAGAGTGATAATCTAATGTACATTGTGAGACCGGCTACTATGCACAGTAAGAACAGCTACTGCACAGAGTAAGACTTGCTACTGTACAGAGTGAGACCGGCTTCTGTACAGTGAGACTGGCTTCTGTACATTGAGACTGGCTTCTGTACAGAGTAAGACTGGCTTCTGTACAGAGTAAGACTGGCTTCGGTACAGAGTGAGACCGGCTTCTGTACATTGAGACTGGCTTCTGTACAGAGTTAGACCGGCTTCTGTACAGAGTGAGACTGGCTTCTGTACAGAGTAAAACTGGCTTCTGTACAGAGTGAGACCGGCTTCTGTATAGTGAGACTGGCTACTGTACAGAGTTAGACTGGCTTCTGTACAGTGAGATTGGCTACTGTACAGAGTAAGACTGGCTTCTGTACAGTGAGACCAGCCACTGTACAGAGTGATAATATAATGTACATTGTGAGACCGGCTACTATGCAGAGTAAGAACAGCTACTGCACAGAGTAAGACTTGCTACTGTACAGAGTGAGACCGGCTTCTGTACAGAGTAAGACTGGCTTCTGTACAGAGTGAGACTGCCTTCTGTACAGTGAGACCGGCTACTGTACAGAGTAAGACTGCCTTCTGTACAGAGTGAGACTGACTTCTGTACAGAGTGAGACCGGCTACTGTACAGAGAAAGACCGGCTTCTGTACAGTGAGACTGGCTACTGTACACAGTGAGACCGGCTTCTGTACAGTGAGACTGGCTACTGTACAGAGTTAGACTTGCTTCTGTACAGTGAGACTGGCTACTGTACACAGTGAGACCGGCTTTTATACACAGTGTGACCTGCTATTGTTCACAGTGATACCAGGTGCTGGACACAGTGAAACCGGCTATTGTGCACAGTGAGTCCAGATTCTCTACACAGTGAGACCGGCTACTATACACAGTGAAACCGGCTATTGTTCACAGTGATTCCCTACACATTGAGAACGGCTACTGTTACATAAATAAAAATAAATGAAAAAAACACGTACGATGCCTGACACAAGGACGTTTTCGAGCTTGACAGAAAAGATGTAAAATTAAAAACTTGTGTGAAATCTGTGAAGAATCCTTTGATGGATGTTTCACTCAGGAACTGCGTTGAACACCCGATGATGTCCTGTTTAAGGTTGGGACATTCTGAGAGGGCGCCCTGGCTTCTGATGGTTGGTAGCGCTAACACTGAAACAACGGCAGGATGAGAATGAGAATGAGAATCGTTATGACGCACCTGCAGCTACTACCTGATAATCATTCTTAGTTTGTCAGTAACGGTGCCCGTGGGGTGCTCGCACTATATACCCTAGCTAGTTGTAACCTGTGTTTTGATATTAAACCAGAAGATATGGAGTATACATGGGGAATGTTGATGGGGCCATTTCGCACTTCATGTAATCAAATAACAAATAACGTCATTTAGAAACTGTTTGACCCCCTCTTGCAAATAAACGTTACAATCAGCTGTCCATCTTTTCTGCTGTTATTTGAGTCTTTGAGAGGCATCTATCTTCATTGTCTGTAACGACGTTTGGTGGCTACTTCTTGTCCATTAAGCATGTTGATTTAATTTATGCACTTATTTGATTGTATTAAAAAAACAAGCGTAGAGGGTATTACAAGGATCCTTTTTTAAAGGAGAGGGACCGGATCGAACATCGCTGCACGCTGATTGGTGCGACACGCAGCGCGCTGATTGGCGCCCGGCCTGAGCCTCGGTTTTCCAAATCGACCCGACCCTTGTGTTTTCTTTTCCATAGGAAATGGATTTTACCATGGGAGAGAAAGCACAACCCCCGGTTCGACCAATCAGAGACCCGAACAGGGCGAGCGCGCCCTCTGATTTGTCGACAACCCAAGCGTCTGATGGGCCAGATTTCGATCCTGTTCTTTTGGGTAGACATGTCCACCGCCACCACGATCATGTTGTGGAACGGTGATCTGAATTCTAAAGGTGGACCAACATGGACAGACATGGACGTGATGTAGGAATGCCTACGTGTTGTATTTGTGTGTTTCCATGCAGGTGTTGGCACTCGTGTATGCCTGCGTGGCATTGTTTTTACTCGTGTCTCGATGCAAACGTGGTGCCACACGTGACTACAAACAGACGTTTATAGAGGTATAGATCGATAGACATACGTAACGTTGTCACTCGCTCATCCACGCCTAGGTGTTGGCACTCGTATATGCCTACATGCGTGCTGCCATTCGTGTCTCCATGCAAACGTGGTGTCACGCATGTCTTCAAACAGACGTTTATATATATATGTGTATATATATATATTCATATTTATATGGATAGAGAGAGATCGATAGACATACGTGGTATTTTACTCGTAGGCGTGTGTTTTACTCGTAGGCCTATACCTCCAGGGAGGAAATGGGTTCTTTTGGATTGTTGTTTGTGTTGGCAAAGCAATGATCAAAACGTTTGTTTCGGGAGAGATGGGTGGCCCTGAAAAGATGAAAAAACAGGAACGGGAACCGGAAAACGGGAAACAGGAACTTGAACAGGAACGGGAAACGGAAACGTCCTCCTAGGAAGGCGGCCATGATACACGTTGCTCTGATTCGCAGGCTCCTGGTAGATCTGATTCTCCCATCTTCTCACTCGCACGCCGCAATGAAAGCAGAACACGCTGTCGGTGCTTTGCGTGTGCGCGAAGCCCGCATGGGCCATGTCTTCAGCGGTCTGGACCTTCTGCATTGACCACGACTCAAACGAAGTGACCCTGCTTTCAAAAGATTGATGGCATGGCGACGTCGGGTTGCTGGACGGCGACGGCGGTGGTGTCGGCGGCGACCTATCATCACAGCCATTCCTACTCCACAGATCAATCTTGGATCCATAAGCATCCGTCAGCTCAGTCACCATGGATCCCTCACTCGTATTCGTACTGCCCTTCCTCTCTGCCATTCTCGATGCGATTTTTTATTTCACAAGTGACACTGACTCCACTCTTACTTACTTACCTATACTTGGAGATTTTACGTGCGCTTTCCGACTGAAGCGTATTTCGCACACGGGCCCGGCCGGGCCATTTAGTGTAGTTTGAAAAGGGAAACAAAAGTTTTGCAACCAGAGAGGGGGCTTTAGTGGTTGCTTATATAAGATTTTGAAATTTTGAAATTTGGAATAAATGCCTGGGGGGTGTGGTGGGTGGACTAAGGGAGTTTGTTAAGGTGTGTTTGTTGGTTTATGTGGTGTGTTGGGTGGTTGGATTATTTTAGATGCGATTGATTAGGTCTGTTTTAGTCAAGTATACGCCTAGGGCTTTAAATTTTTCTATGTTATTATGTGGGTTTAGGATTGCTTCTAGGGTAAGAGCCTTATTTAGTTTTAGGTTTGTTTGTAGTATTGCTCGGTGGGTATGGTAGTGGGTGCAGTGTATGAGTGCGTGTTCTGTGGTTTCTAGGTGTTTGCATTGTGGGCACTTCCCGGTTGGGTGTTTTTTAATTTTTAGGAGGTGGCTATTTAGTTTGGTGTGGCCTGTTTGGAGTTTGGTGATTATTCTATCGATTTTTTTGGATGGGTGAAGGATTTTTGGTTTGGTTAGGTTTTTTTTGAGGACTCCACTCGAGTGGCTTCACTCTTTATAGGAGAAGGACCGGATCGAACATTGCTGCATGCTGATTGGTGAAACACGCAGCGCGCTGATTGGTCCATTCTGCAGCCCGGCCCGAGCCCTGGTTTTCCAAACCGGCCCGACCCTTGTGTTTGTTTTCCATGGAAATGGATTTTACCATGGGAGACCTCTGATAGGTCGACAACCCAAGCTTCTGATTGATTAGATTTTGATCCTGTTTTTTCTAGGGTGTGCATGTCGATCCTGTTTTTTCCCTCGGGTGTGCCCGCCGATCCCCATCCTAATAACAACACAACACCTATTTTTTTGTTCAATTTTTTTTTAATCCCCACTCACATGAACCAATAAAACAAAAACCACAGGATGAGGGGGCGTCACTATCATTTTTGTGAACAGGAAACTTTGTCACTAGGAGTGAACAAGACACCCTGCTCTTCTCTTCTATGCTTCTTCGGACAACAGACGTCTGTATTTTTCGTTCACTTCTTCATCAGGACAAAACACAAACAAGTATTCGCAGGGGATTTTGGCGTGCTTCAGATGTTCTTTCCAGGGTTTGTCTGTGGCTTCCCATTGGCAGAGTGTCACACCCCAGCAATAACAGATAACACGATCACCTCGTCCTGGATAGAAATAGCCAGCCATGGCCCTGTCATAAGGGGTCTGGGTCATCTGTTTAGGCCACGTTTGAAAAGACCTCAGACGTTCTTGAAATGAATCAAAGCCAGGATGAGAAGGATGACTCCAGGTGTAAGAAGGGGAAAGCAGAACACGCTGTCGGTGCTTTGCGTGTACACGAAGCCCGCATGGGCCATGTCTTCAGCGGTCTGGGCCTTCTGCATTGGCCACGACTCAAGTCAAAGAACAGGTGAGTGCATGGTTCTTGGGTGGCGTCTTCAAAGGCTTCATGAGATACAGCACGGATGTGTTTCGGTGATGACTTTTCTTGGTGAACCATCGCAGCACTTCCGTTTCTTCTTCTTTCGTATTGTTGCCCAGCAAATCATGGATGACAAGCCAATGCAGGGCCACTCCTTTTTCAGGCAAGGCACGATCCGCTTCATTCATGCTGTGCACAAACTCAAGAGTGACCCCTAAGCGGTCTGCCATCTCATCCAACTCGTGATGGAGCAGTTGCCATTCGCTGTACACCCACACGATGCGATGGGGTGGCGTATCCAATACCTTGGGACGATGCATCTTAAGGTGTTAAGATACATATAGTGGAATCAGGGACGATGTCACCATTGGAGGAGTGGGTCAAATGGTTGACTTGTGCACCATCAGAGTGGATAGAATAATTGACTCGTGCCGACGAGTTCAAGCCAAAGCCAGAACACCACAAAACGCCATGCTACAACTGTAGCTACTTTGGTCGTTGGCCGCTACCAAAGTAGCTAGGATGACGCTTCCGGTTCCTGATTCCGTTTCCCGTTTTCCGGTTCCCGTTTTTTCATCATCTTCCTCCAAACGGCCCTTTTCAGGGCCACCCATCTCTCCCGAAAGATCGCTTCCATCTTTGCTTTGACTAACCTCCACCTACATCACCACCACCAAACCAAAACAAAGAACCCTCCTCCTCCTCCCTCCCTCCCTCCCTCCCGCCTTCCCGCCGCCGCCATCTTGGATGGGGAGATGCCCCCTTCGGAACCAGACGTGCCGCCATCTTGGAGGCGCACGCATTACCCACAATGCCGTCTTCGCGCATGCGCAGAACCATTTCCGGATGCCAGGGTTCTGTCAATAACTACACGATTGTTGTTGTTACACGATGCTTAACAATGCATATGGAATCCCGTTAACGCACATGTTTTTATACCCATTCTTGGGCAGTGAAATGCATTGGGCTTGCATAAAAGTCAACTTTTGCATGGAATGCATGCTTTTCTGTAGCAATTGCGTTTTGGTGACTTGATTCCACACATGTACTACAATATTGAAAACCAAACTTTACTTGTTTGAAAAATACACTTAAATATTGGTGTCACAGGAACTTTTGCTGTTGAGAATATATATGTGTGAATGTAACCAACTGAACAATTGCCGTCAATTATCCAATCAGACTGAACCAAAAATCACACTGCTTATTGACGATTACTGAAAATAATTTTGCTGATCTTCGATTGTGTCATGATGTAGAAATGCAGTCCAAAATTGCGTCTGACTTCCAGCCAGCTGCGATGCTGTGTTTCTTTTCTACGAAATACGGCTAGAGAGTCGATTGATGACGACAACGGGGGATTGTCTTAAGTGTCCCGTCTGATAGTGTACCGGGTCGGGGTATGTAGTCTATGGCCCCCTTTTTCTAGCGTATACAAAAGTCTGCCTGGGGCACGACAGACCTCTTCTGCCTAACCCCCTGTCTGTTCACAGTGCGATATATCGCGTGACTTACACCTGGAAACAGCTCTTCACCAACATTATCTCATATGGAAACACTGCTGTGTACCAGATACGTGGAAGTTAGATAAAAACAAAAACTAAATACCTTGTTCATTTTGCAGGATTATGGGGCCGTCAAAAGAGGTTATCACGCGAGTTTGCAATGGTTTGTTTGTTGTTCAAAGCACGAATGGGTTGCTGAATTCTAACCCGGATCTTCACGGGTCGTTTGCAAGTGTAAATACCCTGTATTAGAAATAAACAATGTATCAGCGAGTCTTACCGATACTCTGTACCTAATTATTCATATGTCAGATGTGTGAAGCTTTGGTTAGCGATAATTAATATGCCAAATGCGCTCTTCGGGAGAAAGGTTCTGCTGTATGTTCGTCAGTTGACGTTATGCTACAGAAAATTTAAATATAAATATAAAATGTTACCTGCAACGAAGACGATGACAGTCCAGGGCTGCATGATGTAAGCAGGTCGTATACTGATCTCACACACAAGACGGGCGCTTTTCACAACCTCCCGTCACTGCTCTCTGGGCAATATGACGAAATAATGCTTGTACACTGACGTGGTTCTCAGAAACAGCAGTGATCGACAATGCCTAATATGGATATTTAACTAGGTGGTGTGCGGAAGCAGGTGCCCTGGGAATTCCGAGAATCCGAATTCAAATAAATGTATTGTTACATAACAACTTTTTATACCCCTTTTTGCCCTGAACTCTTATACTTAAGCACAACATAATACGCTTGCGTCTGTGTTTCAACGTTTAAATTGTTCAGATCAACACTGTACTTGATTACATTACACATGGTGGTGGACCAAGCATTCGTAGCTGTCTAAGATGCCGAATTTAAGACTAACCTTGTGTTTTAATGGAGATGTGTTTATGATCAACTCTGCAGGAAGCGGGCCGTAAATTAAATATCCTCGGATAGGGCTAACTGGCGGGCTGTTCCGCTTCGATAAACACAGTTGGGACATTAATATTTCATTTTAATGCACGAATAAAGAACATATGTGATAACTTCTTACTTCTTCCTATCCTTACTTAACAAATGTAATTTGTGTACATTTAGTGAACATACATTATTGATGAATTACATATGGATTTGAATTAACTTTGTACCGAATTTTAATCTGAATTAGAATTAGATTAACAATGCTTGCGACAAGACAGAAGCATACAACACATGGATAGATGAAGAACTGTGATGTTAAACCCACTGAACTTTGCCAAGGAAATATACCTATGAATCTGCTATGTCCGTTTTGGCGAAGCCAGAAATATTGGCAAGGCAACTTGTATAGAAAAAGAAGTTTATTATGGTATTACATCACCACAGTTTTTTGCAACTCTTTACAAATTTTGAAATTATGAATAACTTACCTCTTTACTCTGATGTTCACTGTCTAGTATCCTTCCTTCTCTGTCAAACTGCCTCACCAGGAACCTGATGTGAACGTTAAGCCTCTCAGTAATCCATCCATTGGTACATAGGAGAGTAACAAATCAAGGTATGACGCAAATGTATCCACCATGGTGTGTTAAAATACAAACAGGGGTCGTTTTTATCTCACATTGCCCGTATAAGAAATGACCTAGTTTGGAGTAAATGTCAAGAATACCTTGACACGGCAATTTTGTAATTTGGACACCTCAACTGGGCGCGGTTGTATGTGGTGTGTTGAGATCAAAATAATCGGCCTGAATTAATCTCACACAATCTAGTCTCGATTATCTATCGTGGTGGGATCTGACTGATGCATGACCATGGTACTGCTATTGTAAACAGTGATATTTAAACACATAGACAGTGGTTAAACAAGACGGCCTACACAGCAGGCAGGCAGGATGAGAGGCGAAGTGGCGCTCGTGACGGGCCATCATTGGGCCTGGGGAGGGGCTCTGCTAAGAAGGGGGGAGGGGGGGCAAAGGTAGGGCCACTTCGCGTGGTGCTAATACCGTTTGATTTGAGATTGATAACATACGGTATCATTCATACGCAATTCGTGAAAATCGACATCTTGTCTTATTTACACAGGTGTGTGTGGTCGATAGCAAAATTCCAACAGGGGAGGCAACTGTGTTCTGGAGAGACAGGGACATGTGCGTTAAATGATATGTGTCAAGTGAAGGTGACGTAAAGGGTTTGAAGTCATTTCACACATTTGTGCTTGTTAAAATCGAATAACGAAACGTTAAGATAAACATGCACCAAATGTCTCTAATGCTGGTTATCGCTTCGTGAGGCTGTCCTTTTATCGAATCTCTAACATCGAATACGCTTGTTTTAATTTTCTTCATGAGATGGCATTGCACCATGCAGTGTCCGCTCAGTGTAAGCTGGCGTGGAGTGACGGGGACCAGCATTACTGACAAAGCCATCAAACAATACCGGCGTTCACCTGTCCACAGATACAGCAATAATGTTTTCGCCTTTTCGATCCACGGACCTTCCAAATGTTGCCCCTGCTCTTGATGTCACTGGCACATTGTGTGTCATGTTGACGTCACTGGCTGATTGTGTGTCATACTGTGCCTTGACGACGTCACTGGTTGACTGTGCGTCATGTTGACGTCACTGTCTGATTGTGTGTGATATTGTACCTTGACGTCACTGGCTGAATGTGTGTCATGTTGACGTCACTGTCTGATTGTGTGTGATATTTTACCTTGACGTCACTGGCTGAGTGTGTGTTATATTGCACGTTCCGCTGTTATAATAACATGTTCCCAGATCGTCCAACAGTTGTAACAACGTGTTCTCAACAACATGTGCCCCGGATCGTACTTCAGTTATAACACCATGTGCCCCAGATCGCACAGCAGGTATAACACGTTCTCCATATCGTACACCACGTATAACACGTTCTCCAGATCGTACAGCAGGTATAACACGTTCTCCATATCGTACATCAGTTATAACACGTTCTCCATATCGTACAGCAGGTATAACACGTTCTCCATATCGTACAGCACGTATAACAGGTTCTCCATATCGTACAGTAGGTATAACACGTTCTCCATATCGTACAGCACGTATAACACGTTCTCCAGATCGTACAGCAGGTATAACACGTTCTCCATATCGTACAGCACGTATAACACGTTCTCCATATCGTACAGCAGGTATAACACGTTCTCCATATCGTACAGCAGGTATTACACGTTCTCCATATCGCACAGCAGGTATAACACGTTCTCCATATCGTACAGCACGCATAACACGTCCTCCAGATCGCACATCAGTTATAACACGTTCTCCATATTGTATAGCAGGTAGAACACGTTCTTCATATCGTACAGTAGGTTTAATACGTTCTCCATATCGTACAGCAGGTATAACACGTTCTCCATATCGCACAGCACGTATAACACGTTCTCCATATCGTACAGCAGGTATAACACGTTCTCCAGATCGTACATCAGTTATAACACGTTCTCCATATTGAACAGCAGGTATAACACGTTCTCCATATCGAACAGCACGTATAACACGTTCTCCAGATCGTACATCAGTTATAACACGTTCTCCATATTGTACAGCAGGTATAACACGTTCTCCAGATCGTACATCATTTATAACACCACGTGCCCCAGATCGCACAGCATGGGTATATATATATATCATGTGAGTCTGTATTAAAGTCAATGTTCGTATCTGTTTCAAACTCACTATTTTCATTCTGTGCCCTAAAATATTCAAAAAGCTCACCAATAGGTGGTGATTTATCATTTCTTGTTCCACGTTTTAACAATTTCCAGAAAGATTTAGTGTCATGTTGTTGCAGGTTATCTATCTTCTTTGCAACACATCTCTATGGAGTCTACTATATTTCACAAGAGTCTTTTTATATATTCTGCTTGCGTTTACGAGCCTCATTTTATTTTGTGTTGTTTTATCTTGTGGTACTTCCCTCGTGCTATTTTGCACTCTTTGCCAAACCATGGTTTAATTAATTTAACATGTTTTACAGTGTTCGATTCCCTGATGGTGTAGGTTCCAAATGTATCTTTAGCTGCCTTGATGAAAATTTCACTTAATTTATCCACAATGTCATTGAGGCTATTTTCTTTGTTCTCCTACCTCTATAAGTTGCTGGTTGATGTGATTGATTTCATCTGTGTTGACAGCAGCAGTATATTCCTGAGATAGTTTTTTGTTCCATTTCCTAGTTTTGTTTTGAAAGGGTGTGGTGTTGTGAGGTTCAGTGTCTATGGTTATTGGTGGTATGTTCAGTGTGAGAGAGATTGCACTATGTACATCTGAAAATAAGGGATCAAATTCATGTATTGTGAAATCCGATATGTACTGAATAGCATCATATGTTGAAATTGAGTAGTCCACCACACTTGTACCTTTGCATGTTACTTTTCCTATAGACTTATCACTTCCAATTCTTCAATTGTGAATAAATAAATTATTATTTTTACACAAACCCAAAAGTGTGTTACCATGGTTGTTCACATGCCCAGTATCCATAGAGCACCTATCTTTTGTCATTCCATGTTCACTCAATATATATGTTGATCTAGCATTTCTTCCAATAACTCATCAGGTATGTTTATATATTGTATGTCTGTATCATCAGCATTAATAATATCTGACTTATTGTTAGTTCTTGCATTAAAATCACCAAGCATTACAATAATATTATCATTATTTCTATAATCAATTATATCATTTTCTAAGTTTGTGAAACATTCTGGTGTAAAGTAAGGTGATCCTTCAGGTGGTATATATATAGTACCAAGCATGATATTCTTGTGTTGAGGCAAATGTATATGTACCCAAAGTACATGTTCATCCTTGTATGGTTCACCGGTAACCCTGTCAACAATGTCATTTTTAATACACACTATAATCCCCCCTGAGCGTACTGAGTGACGTTGTGTCCTTTGGTAACTAAAGGATTTTAATTAGGTAATTCTACAGTATCATAGCAATCAAGCTTACTCTCAGCAAAGCACAAATTTCAAAACGTTCAATAAATTCACAAAACTCTGGTGATAACAGTTTTGACTTGAGTCCACATACATTTATAAAGAGACAGTTTACCTGTTGCGTTAAGATAACATCAATGCTAATCTGCAAATCACACTTGTGTCCCTCATTGTTTACGTTGTTATAACGAGGAGTAGCAGCATATTATCTATTTACATCTGTATGATGAGGTCCGGGTGCATGATCTCCTTGACTGTCCTAGTAGCGAGGGCTGTTTCCTTCATGGTATACTATTTCTCCATTAATAAATAGTTTGTCTCTGACAAGTTTAGCATTTTCCTGGTTCTGCCTGGCTTGTCTGTAAATTGGTAAGAGTGTCTTACGACGTTCATTCCACTCTTTCGGTAGTTGCTCGTTCACACCATACCTTGTTCCTTTTAAGTTTGACGGTGCAGCATCTCTCACAATCTCTCGTTGTGGATAGTGGAGAAAACGCGCAATAGCGGGGCGAATCCGGGAAGGACGATGTGGTCCGAGACGATGCACTTTTTCAAACACTATCTCCTCTTCCACCTTCAGTTTGTCTCTGATGAAGGTTCTCAGTTTCTCTTCTGTGTTCTCCTGATCCTCCTCTTCTATACCACTGAATAGCAGATTGTTTCTCATCCCCCTCCATTGTAGGTCCAACAT